GCTAGAGCTGACTAACACCTCAGAGATTCCAATTTGTCCAGTATGATTGAAGACATTTGCAAATTTACTCAGAAAGTTTGTTTCATGTACGTTTCCTGAATCTGACATCTGTTGATTGAACTGATGACGTCATCATGTGATGAGTCGGTTGAATATACATGTATATAGGATCTTTCATGAATTTCCATTTCATATGAGATTTATGAAATTCGTGATGAGTTTCATAAATTTCGTATGAAATGAAAACGAGTGTAAGATCCTTTTTATCACATATCAAGACTTGTGGCATTTATTCGTGTAAAACGACAATTTTCATGCAACCTTTTAATGTAAAAAGCCGCCATTTTGACTCCAGTGCGTAAGTCTGTGACGTCATGTACTGTGACGTCACAATTGAAACAATTGAAACTTACAACCAATCATAGGGCTGATAGGTCATATTACATGGGATAATCCGTCAAAAAATATGACATGGGTATATTCACTAAAAAACAGTTCAATATGTGATAAATATATTTCTACCACAATACGCTGTGTTATTCCACTCTCAGATCATTGCATAAACATGCAGACTGTTAGATAAATATGAGTTATACACCACACGTGGTATATGACCTTCCAGAGTTTTGATTGGTCGAGAAGATGAACTTTGACCGGGACGACTTTTTCCACGTGCTTTTTGCCACATGCTGTTTTGTTTACGTCGTCTGCTGTCAAATTTTGGTGACTTTGTGAGGTTATGCGATGGGGAAAAGGGGGTTATTAAGGCAATCTTAAAAGAAATATAAATAAATGCAATACTGCATACTCTCAATACTTAAAGACGTTCATCTACTATATTTTTTTCACGAAGTTGTTGCCAAAACATTTATTTTGACAATTATTAAATTTGTAAAAAATATATATGTAAATTTGAATATTAATGAGTGACATTTTACATATGGGTACTATAACTACGCCAGCCTTGTCAACAAACACACGTGTGTATGTTATTCAAATCAGGTCACACTCCAGCTGTTTCTGACTGAGACTGTGGTAGAAACAGATCACACGACTCGTGGTTGTTGAGTATAGTATTTATTTCACTCTCGTTAGTTAATTTTCAAAAGTTACAGAAAGACACTTGTTAAAGCTCGTGTCTTTTGTAACTTTTGAAAATTACCTAACTCGAGTGAAATAAATAACATATTCAACAACCACTCGTTGTATAACCTCTATTTATTCTATACTACACATTATATCGAAAGCTCCATTTAATTTACAATTGCTACAAACTGCGTGTTTTCAATGGTTAAAGCATAATTTTGAAATAATTGGAATTTTTCATCTGTTGTTAGAACTCAAAGACAGAGAGTATGGTCAGACGCTTTTGTTGTAATACCAAAAAATATCACCGAATCTAAAGCGTCCTGTACGCGATGGCAAACAACAGATGACCAGCTACCATCTTTGTCCGGAGTAGATGTACAGGTGTGTCCATGTCGCCTTGACCAAGCGGAGATCGACATTATTAGATTCCATCCCGATCCCATGTGCCAATCCCCGGACGGTTCTCAACAATCGGATGCTGACACGTCAATCAACTGTCTGGTCCATCCCCATGCCAAACAGTGCTTCCGACTGAACACCCCCGGGTAAGAGAAAGACATATTTCTTCTCTGTCCATCATATAGCAAACATAATGTAGTACTTGAATCCAATCACGCCCCTTATGTTAACGTCTAAAGTGAAATATTTGATATTTTCTCATTTAGTTTATGTTTCTGTCATTAAATAATTGACTGTTAGATGTGCTTATCAACCACAGACGTACAATATGTAGAAGTATGTGGCAAAGCTGCTTATTTCTCGCACCTCAAACAGAGATATCCCACGGCATACCACATGCTAGATTTTTCTAATTCGTCAGATTTGTCTTGCACATTTACGTGACATTTCGCGGAATTTGTACAGTGCAATGTATTCATCCGCGCGTTAACTGCTTGAAATTGACAATCTGCATTATAAATGTTCTGTTTAGTCGTTATATATATAGTTTTGACATCTGATGTTGTAGATAAAATAAAATCTACACTGTGAAATACGTTGTCATCTATGTAAGAACGGACTACATTTTTACGCGGAAGCATTCAAATGTAGCTTCAGTAGTGAAGAGGTCATTATCATTTGAGGCCCAAAACGGGATACATAAAGTTTTTAGCAAAATGTTTTGTTTTTCGAACTAAAAGGTGCGAGAAAAACAAAAAATCAATTACCTGTAACTGAGCAAGATATGGTTATCTCAGTCTCGGGCTAAGATTCTGTAACACCCAACCTCGGCTTACGCCTCGGTTGGGGTTTTGTTACAGAATCTTAACCCTCGACTGAGATAACCCGATCTCGCTCAGTTACAGGTAATATATTTTATTAGTCATAGTTATTCACTTTAAAACTTTAATTTGCGCAACCATATTACAGCGAAAAATGTTCAACGCAACAGGATCTAAAAATTTAAATACCGCCCAAATGTACATGTTGACAGTATCCTTAATCACATGTTAACTAAGTCCCGTTTCTTAAGTCTTGGTTTCTAGACTTTTAGTGGGTTCTTTTCATAAAAGGCGGTTCCTTTGATTTTACCCTTTGCCTTAACGATCCTGTAATTTTGCTGTCTATTTTTCGACATGATGCACCTTTTTTCGTTCACGTTTGGTACAAATTGTACCAAAGAGAATGTTTTAATTTGTTATTACATTTACATGATCGACTTAATAGTTTCACTGGGCGTGCCTTTGTTTTAATAGAACAAGAGGAACGGGACAGCTGTGTTGCTATGACGATAATGGAAGCATCATGAATATGCTGACGTCGTCCGGTGGTGGATCACTACAACGTTATCACTACTTCGGTGATACAGATGACGCAGTTCCGTATTTGTCAAACATTGTTTATGATACGGCCCCCTACTACCATTGTTGTGCGTATCCTCACCTTTTTCAGTCGGATGTTCCGAGTGAGTGTTACAGATTTCATCAGAGGCGTACGCCTGGAAACTGCAATGAGTATGTCCCAAATACGCCAGGTAAAGCAACGTCTTTTATATTTATTAATACATTTCCAAATATCTATATCCTTGAATTCTATATCTTAAATAACACATCATTCCCAGTTGAAATATAAGCTATATTCTTGCTATTTTCCATTCTGTAAATGCTGGTGGTAAACAATTGGAAATTCTTCACTTTAATTCTAGTATAGAACTTCAACTATACCATGAGCAAAAGGGCACAACAGAGTAAAATAGGGCTGAAATATTTTCGACTCCTAACCAGCTGCACATGTTTGGGATTTTTTGTTTTTTTACCATATTTGGCAAAAAATAATCATCGTTTAGCCATAAGTTTTTTTGTTTTGGCTGCTTTGAAAAGCAAGATTTTTTGGCTCTCTTTTAGCTTCCCTAAAGTCTATTTTGACAAAGCTGAATACGGATGTATCTCTCATGATTAATGACATTTTGAAGATGATTAATGGCTTATTTTATAATCAAAGATGGGCAATCTAGTCTCTATTTGCGTATGACATTATTATATTCCTCTTAATTTCCAATTTATCAATTTTAACAAAATAAAACTATAAATATTTATGTCTCAATAGCATTTGATAATGATTTACATTTATCGATGATAAGATTAAACAAGACTCAAAGAACCACGAATTTGTCCAACTTAAAATTCACCGCTACCTTAGGTTATAATAGATGAACAAATACAAATGTCATGAAGTGCATCCTATGGTCATTTGTATGTATATTCAGTTGCGTCCTCATTTAGAGACCTTTATAATATTTCAGCACAAAACTTTGGCGATCCCCATTTTGTGACGCCGGATGGTCTGTCTTACACATTCAATGGAGTAGGGGAGTTCACATTATTTAGAACGAAAACCAACACTTTCATAGCTCAGGTCAGGATGCAGTCTCTTGGTACCACCGGTAAGAATTGCCTTTCTATACGCTCATACTTATATAATTGTTAACTGAGGTATAGTTCGTAGCTGAATCGGGTCATTTCGGTACTTATATAACATATATAACAACTATTGTACATACGCTTACAGCGTAGCCTAAATCGACATCGATTTTGTAAACAACTCGTACACACTTTACACCTTTGTGTGCATACGCTTCACTGGTCATTTGTCTGATGAAGGTGACAGTGTACATAACGTACTAGTCATCTAAACGTCACAAAGAAAAAAAATTGGTTGTGAGAACTTTTCATAATCCATGCTTACCAACCTGAAGAAAATGTTTAAAAACATATTAGTAATTAAATTCATATCCCTCTGATGTTTTAAGTTATTTATGTCAGTCATGCATATTTTTTATTGTTTTTTTTGTAAATATGAAGAAGTATAAATCGTTTAGGTAACACGTACATTAATTACATTGTATCACGTCTGTCATCAAGGCGGACTGACAGTGAATAACACAACGTTTATCTAGCGTATTCACACCATCACAGATAAACATTTATATACAATCTGTGTTTCGAAGATAACTATTTAGTCAATTTGNGTTTACATGCAATTGTTCCTCCGGTATACAGGCAAATGTTCCTCCGGTATACAGGCAAGTGTTCCTCCAGTATACAGGCAAGTGTTCCTTTGGTATACAGCCAAATGTTCCTCCGGTATACAGGCAAGTGTTTCTTTGGTATTAAGGCAAGTGTTTCTTTGGTATACAGGCAAGTGTTTCTTTGGTATAGAGGCAAGTGTTCCTTTGGTATACAGGCAAGCGTTTCTCCGGTTTACAGGCAAGTATTTCTTTGGTATACAGGCAAGTGTTTCTTTGGTATACATGCAAGTGTTTCTTTGGTATACAGGCAAGTGTTTCTTTGGTATACAGGCAAGTGTTCCTCCGGTATACAGGCAAATGTTCCTCCGGTATACAGGCAAGTGTTCTTTCGGTTTACAGGCAAGTGTTCCTTCAGTATACAAGCAAGTGTTTCTTCGGTTTACAGGCAAATGTTCCTCTGGTATACAGGCAAGTGTTCCTTTGGTATACAGAAAAGTGTTCCTTTGGTATACAGGCAAATGTTTCTTCGGTTTACATGCAATTGTTCCTCCGGTATACAGGCAAATGTTCCTCCGGTATACAGGCAAGTGTTCCTCCAGTATACAGGCAAGTGTTCCTTTGGTATACAGCCAAATGTTCCTCCGGTATACAGGCAAGTGTTTCTTTGGTATTAAGGCAAGTGTTTCTTTGGTATACAAGCAAGTGTTTCTTTGGTATGGAGGCAAGTGTTCCTTTGGTATACAGGCAAGTGTTTCTCCGGTTTACAGGCAAGTATTTCTTTGGTATACAGCAAAGTGTTTCTTTGGTATACATGCAAGTGTTTCTTTGGTATACAGGCAAGTGTTTCTTTGGTATAAAGGCAAGTGTTCCTCCGGTATACAGGCAAGTGTTCTTTCGGTTTACAGGCAAGTGTTCCTTCGGTATACAAGCAAGTGTTTCTTCGGTTTACAGGCAAGTGTTTCTTTGGTATACAGCCAAGTGTTCCTTTGGTATACAGGCAAATGTTTCTTCGGTTTACAGGCAAGTTTTTCTTTAGTATACAGGCAAGTGGGTTTTTTTTGTATACAGGCAAGTGTTCCTCCGGTAGACAGGCAAGTGTTCCTTCGGTATACAGGCAAGTTTTTTTTTATTAGATGGGTTAAATATAGATGAACGAAGGTCATTATTACAAATCCGATTACTGCAGAACATGTTTTTTCATGTAAAAGTTGCGACTAGGACTGCCAACTCCAGAACAGCAAATATATGGGGGGAAACCTTTGACTCAAGTTTCTGTGGTATAGGCTATCATGAAAACGTGTTTATAAACAGAAAACCGTGAAAAGATCACGAATATTTCATGTATTACAAATACATTTTAGTGTCATTGCCTACGACAACAAAACAATAGGTGCCAAATAAAGAAAATGCACAAAGTATATGCCAATATAATACATTGGTAAATATTTAATATGAAGCTAAGCTCTTATGTTGTTGTAGGAATATGATTGCATTCATATCTCTATAAAAGTTCCTCTTTCAAGATATGACATACAACAGATAATATATGACATATATGGAGAAGATAGTTACACATAACAGTTTATTTTTATAACTTTTAGGAGTAATCATTTCTATACTCGACAATCCTCCCACAACAAATAATCATACGAAACAAGTCAACGTTGCCTTTCCGGAACAAGACATTGCCCTCCAGATATTGGTTTATGGGTCGTTTTTGAACTACGTCGTCAGTTTTGGCCAAGGTGTGAAGCGAGGTAAGATTCAACAAACCCGAATTAACGTTCACAACTGAAAATGTCTACCGTCTTATACATTATTATATGACTGGTGCTAATTCCCAGCCCTGATTGGAGGAGCGACGTCATGTGACGAGTCTGTAAATATGGTACAGACCTCGAACTTTAAATAGAAAAGTGTTACAGACCGCTACTAAAAATAATACTTGGTAATTTCCCAGCCATCGATTAACAGCCAATTGCAATCAAATCATCTGTTACAGACCTCGTTCTATGAATAGAAAAGTGTTACAGAACTCGACCTATAAATATAATAATGTTGCAGACCGCTACTAAAAATAGGCCAGTCCGTAATTCTGTTACCAATTACACTGCTGAATTGAACTACAAATGAATTATCTCATCGAATTCTGAACTATGTGAATATTGATGATGTAGATTGTGCAAATAATATTTACTTGAAATTAAATATCACATGAATTGAATCTGAAATTCAATTTTTGTGTATGTTATTTTGTATTTGAAGTCCTTCACTCTGTGATTCCAAAATGGTCCATGCCATCCATGTGTTTACGACATAAAAAATTAATCGCATTGTAAAATGTCATATAATAAAACAATTGTGGACTTTCGGTCTATCCCTGATGTACGGACCTGGTCGGAACGATATTCACATCGGCCTTCGGCCTCTGTGAATATTATTCAGACCAGGTCCGTAAATCAGGGATATACCTCACCTGAAGTCCATAATTGTATAATGTTCTTTATAAATAAGTCGTCTAACACAGATCTATAACATGTTTTAGTTCTGGCGACGTTTACTGTATATAAGATCATGCATGACCTATTAGAGTCCTTTATTCAAATAGAAATAACCTGATGATATAACAAGTGGAACGTTAAATAAATACGGCCTGCATTCTGTATCGGCGATGTCGAGGTCTATTATGATAAAATGTATGACGAGGGCCTCGTATAGCACTAATTACTGAGAGTTTACCAGGTTTTGTCGTCTGCTTTGTTGACTTTTTAGTTCCTGCTGTTATTTATTTGTAGCGACTTTGAGCACCGGCGTGGTGATGCATATCCTGTTTAATCATTTTTGAAGTTATTAGTGTACGATATACACTATAGTCTATAACGTATTTTTGGCCTGTTGTTTTGCTTACATTAACTACATTATCAATGTGAAACTCTTATCTTGTCTATGATATATTTGTGCCATGTTTTTTTATAGGTGGTATCGAGGGACTACTCGGAAATTTAAACCAGGATCCTAAGGATGACCTGGTTTCCCAAACTGGCGATGTCTTACTCTCCAATTCGTCTACCGAAGTTATACACAACATGATGGGCATGTCATGTAAGTGGTGCGAATTCTGTCATTTATGTTGAACCCTGATGAATAGCAAAGTCATGTCATACGACACTGACACAAGAATTACTTAATAGATTATTTCAGAATATAAAATGCTAGTTGCAGTATTTTACTTGGATATCGTAATATTAAGGTTGTAAGAAAACAAAATCCGATTTTTAATTCTGAGTCTTAAAACACTTCAATCTTCATATACAGTTGCTATTCGGTGGTTGAATGTGGTAGACGGTTAACAACAATCATACATGATACGTTCCATACAAGATCACTCCATCAAAAATACTATTTAAAGACACCTCAATTCATTTTCTATGTATTCGTTTGCAAAAAGTAAATTTTCAATAGTAAAAAACGAGTGCATGTACCCTTACTTAGCCAATAAAAATACGTTCTCGTTTCGCTTGTTTGCATTTACAATACAGGCATTTGTTCGNGCGACCGGATCTAGTAAGTACAATATTGACCTTCACCTCACAGGCTTAAGTAATTCGTAAGGTGTTCGGCGCTATTAAGAGGACATTCCTATAAATAAAATGGCGCCTTGATATCTCGGACGCTTTATTGCCTAGAAAAATGACTAATGTGATAAATAATTGTCTTGATAATTTCAAAACGATTTTTTCATAATCAGAAAGAGTTTACATAGTATACTACATTTGTGTCATGTAAGTGATGTAAATAATTGATAGTTTTGTCAAAGTTCACATACATAAACAATGTGGGTTGTTCTTGTCAAACAATATATGCAAAACAAAGCTGTATCCATTATAATTTTCTCGTATTTGATATTCAGATGAGTAAATATTATTTTAACAATGAATTTTACAGAACAACTTTAGTTGTTTTACCCTACAATTGGTCATTTTATCGTATATACTACAGTACTAGACATTTAAGATATAATGCCGAATGGTTTATGCTCGACATTTTTTCTGTAATTATCAGTATTTAAGTTGGTAAGGAATACAGGCTAAATTGATACATTTAAACACTTTATTCCAGCTATGCACATTTCGTATTTTAGATTCCTGGTTAATCCCTGTGGTGATTGGTATTGCATCCGTGTTAACACTCATCATCGTTATTTTGGTATTCATCGTTCTCGTCAGGTGCTTCTGTTGAAATAAAAGCCAGGCGAAAGTAAACAATCAAAATTATAAACTCATTGATGACCATTTTGTTTTGGTTTCCGAGATTTTATACAGTGTTTGTTTGCTTACAGCTGTAACCTGTGGGTTTCCGCCGGCTGTGGAACATGGACAGTGGAATATCAATGGTGGAGATGCTGACGACACGGGCAAACTTATTTGCAACTCTGATGCACAGCTCCAAGGGTCCGGCCACATAACATGTAACACAGAAGGTCATTGGACTGCCAGCCAGAGCTACTGTGCCCCCTCAGGTATTGATATTATATGTATTTTGGTTGTGTAATTTGTTTGTTATTTGATTATTAGTCTTTCGGCTAACCCTACAGCTGAGGTCACGGTTCGTTTTAAAGTTTAGTACATGTTTTCTATATAGCATGGCTTCCATGTAAATTTTTCAAAATCTTTGTTTGCAGTTGTAAAAGCAACAATTGACCCAACCACGGAAGCGACCGGATCTAGTAAGTACAATATTGACCTTCACCTCACAGGCTTAAGTAATTCGTAAGGTGTTCGGCGCTATTAAGAGGACATTCCTATAAATAAAATGGCGCCTTGATATCTCGGACGCTTTATTGCCTAGAAAAATGACTAATGTGATAAATAATTGTCTTGATAATTTCAAAACGATTTTTTCATAATCAGAAAGAGTTTACATAGTATACTACATTTGTGTCATGTAAGTGATGTAAATAATTGATAGTTTTGTCAAAGTTCACATACATAAACAATGTGGGTTGTTCTTGTCAAACAATATATGCAAAACAAAGCTGTATCCATTATAATTTTCTCGTATTTGATATTCAGATGAGTAAATATTATTTTAACAATGAATTTTACAGAACAACTTTAGTTGTTTTACCCTACAATTGGTCATTTTATCGTATATACTACAGTACTAGACATTTAAGATATAATGCCGAATGGTTTATGCTCGACATTTTTTCTGTAATTATCAGTATTTAAGTTGGTAAGGAATACAGGCTAAATTGATACATTTAAACACTTTATTCCAGCTATGCACATTTCGTATTTTAGATTCCTGGTTAATCCCTGTGGTGATTGGTATTGCATCCGTGTTAACACTCATCATCGTTATTTTGGTATTCATCGTTCTCGTCAGGTGCTTCTGTTGAAATAAAAGCCAGGCGAAAGTAAACAATCAAAATTATAAACTCATTGATGACCATTTTGTTTTGGTTTCCGAGATTTTATACAGTGTTTGTTTGCTTACAGCTGTAACCTGTGGGTTTCCGCCGGCTGTGGAACATGGACAGTGGAATATCAATGGTGGAGATGCTGACGACACGGGCAAACTTATTTGCAACTCTGATGCACAGCTCCAAGGGTCCGGCCACATAACATGTAACACAGAAGGTCATTGGACTGCCAGCCAGAGCTACTGTGCCCCCTCAGGTATTGATATTATATGTATTTTGGTTGTGTAATTTGTTTGTTATTTGATTATTAGTCTTTCGGCTAACCCTACAGCTGAGGTCACGGTTCGTTTTAAAGTTTAGTACATGTTTTCTATATAGCATGGCTTCCATGTAAATTTTTCAAAATCTTTGTTTGCAGTTGTAAAAGCAACAATTGACCCAACCACGGAAGCGACCAGATCTAGTAAGTTCAATATTGACCTTGACCTTACAGGCTTAAGTAATTCGTAAGGTGTTCGGCGCTATAAAGAGGACATTCCTATAAATAAAATGGCGCCTTGATATCTCGGACGCTTTATTGCCTAGAAAAATGCCTAATATGATAAATAATTGTCTTGATAATTTCAAAATGATTTTTTCATAATCAGAAAGAGTTTACATAGTATACTTCATTTGTGTCATATAAGTGATGTTAATAATTGATAGTTTTGTCAAAGTTCACATACATAAACAATGTGGGTTGTTCTTGTCAAACAATATATGCAAAACAAAGCTGTATCTATTATAATTTTCTCGTATTTGATATTCAGATGAGTAAATATTATTTTAACAATGGATTTTACAGAACAACTTTAGTTGTTTTACCCTACAATTGGTCATTTTATCGTATATACTACAGTACTAGACATTTAAGATATAATGCCGAATGGTTTATGCTCGAATTTTTTTCTGTAATTATCAGTATTGAAGTTGGTAAGGAATACAGGCTAAATTGATACATTTAAACACTTTATTCCAACTATGCATATTTCGTATTTTAGATTCCTGGTTAATCCCTATGGCGATTGCTCTTGCATCCGTGTTTACACTCATCATTGTTATTCTGGTGTCCATCGTTCTCGTCAGGTGCTTCTGTTGGAAGAAAAGCCAGGCGAAAGGTCGAGATCACACAGAATTTCCTAAATCAACACTGGACTTTGACAATGCGGCGTACCAATCACGTCATTATTAAACAATTAGTTCCTAGGAACTATATCTGAGACCTATATATACCAGTCAGATCACATCTTTATGATACATATGTTGCTTAAAATCTATTTATTCAACTTCTGATATCCAATTATTTTAGGACATTTAATTACTTTTAAAACCTAGAAAAATATCATTTTCATGCTTATCAAATAATATAAGGTTTATACATCATGATATATTCTCTAAACAGAAATTTTTAATGAGGAATTGACGTTATGTATATATTATGTGTGTATATTATGTGTATATTATGTACCGGGCCACTACTAAAGTGTGTGTATTATGTGTATATTATGTACCGTGTCACTACTAAAATGTGTATATTATGTACCGGGCCACTACTAAAGTGTGTATAGTATGTACCGGGACACTACTGAAAAGAAATAACTGTGGCTATCAGGGTTGCAGCAAACTTTCGGGACTAGGAAATCCACCAGCAGAGTCGACAATCTTGTATCTTTAAATATTAACACACACACAAATGTGATTGCAAAAAAAGTCGGTATTAGATACAGATGCTTCGTTCTTCTAGGTCTCATCGTTGAGCTTAGACCCGAGACAGATATATTGTATGTTTTAAACCATGTTGTATTATATCTGATGTGTGACACTTTAATAAATTTCCTGAATTTTGAATCATATTGATTATTCATTTCTTTGTTATGTTGCAAAAAGTTCTGTGATAGTGTCATTTTGCTTTAAATCCTTCAACGATTCAGTTAGAGGCAGATATGCGCGCAATATGGCAAATGACAAAAAAGTTTATGTTTCTCTTGGGATAACATTATTCCTGTTGCAGATCTGGAAAATAATTACCATGAACTATGACGTCCAAATCCGGAATATAACGTCGCAAGGCATTGTTACTTGACATTATGATTAGACGATGGACCAATAACATAACGTCCAGGGTGATAACCCACTAGTGGGTAACCACAATGTTTATCAACTCCTCGCAGGTTTATCAAATGAGTCAGGAGTGGGGAAACCTTTAGTGGCTGTGTGAGAATAATAGAATTTTTCGTCTCCTTGGGGTGAGATAGGGGAATCACAACCCGAGGGGCAAGATTCTTAAGTTACAAAAAACGATGCTTTGCCCAGTGTTTGGCAATTAATGATTTTTTCTCCAAAGGTTGAGATTAAACTAGCTCACCCCAAGGAGTTGAATGCTTTTTTATCTCCTACACTGTTCATCCATTGTGTATCATATACGTAATGTACTGTTAACGTTATATGCTAAATGCAGGGGTGACGTGATTTTGATGCATTGTTGACGTGACGTAATTGTATTGTTGTCGTGAAGTCATAAACCTGTTATAAATAGGAGACAACTTAAGAATATTTACCCCAAAGTTTAGATTAATAGAATCACTCACCCCCTTGAGGGTGAGATAGGGGAATCTCAACCCGAGGGGAAAGATTCTAAAGTTGCCAAATACAAGGCTTTGTCAAGATTTCCCTATCTCACCCTTAAGGTGAAAACTGCAATTCTTACCCTTTCTCTGTTGGTAAAACATGTAGCTTTGACACATGTACCAGTGACATGCACAATTTAGTACCTGTCCAACTAAAATCCTTCGTTCAAAAAGTTCAGAACAGTTTTATAGAAGCTTTAAAAATGTTTAACATGCAGATTTTCCTCAGGATTTGAATAACACAGATTTTGAAAATAGTATGGATGTAGATAATGTTAACACAGCTTACAGACCTTTTCAGAGATTTTTTTTAACATAGTCGAGAAACATGCTCCTATAAAACAACGAAATCCATTACAGAAACAAGCATCATTTACGAATTGATTAGAAATCTGCGGAAAGCAATTTTTAAAAAAAGAATGTTGCACAACTTATATAAAAGTGATATGTCTAGGCAGAACTGGGAATTTTATAGGAAACAGAGAAATTTGGTTAACAAAATAATCTATAAAACAGTATTTTATTGAAAGATGCACCGGAGGACACACAAACAGTGTCGTTTGGCTACATTATTTAACTATAAAACCATTTTTAACTAATAAATGGTGTCAAAGCTAGAAAGATATAAATATTGAAGACCAGAGTAAATTGATTAATGATCAAGTTAAAGTCAGTGAAATGTTTAACTTTTTTTTATTAATGTAGCCAAGTACACTGGTCAAGAGAATAACAACCAAAACACCGATCACTGGTCAAGAGAATGACAACATAAACACCGATCACCCTAGTATTCATTTATAACTAACAACATAAATACCGTTCATCCTAGTATTCAGACAATAACTAACAACATAAACACAGATCACCCTAGTATTCAGATAATAATTAACAATACAAACACCGTTCACCCTAGTATTCAGACAATAACTAACAACATAAACATAAACACCGATCACTGGTCAAGAGAATGACAACATAAATACCGTTCATCCTAGAATTCAGACAATAACTCAGACAATAACTAACACCATAAACACCGATCATTATTCATTTATAACTAACAACATAAACATAAACACCGATTATTCAGACAATAACTTACAAAATAAACACCGATCACCCTATGGTCAAGAGAATGACAACATAAATACCGATCACCCTAGTGTTCAGACAATGACTAACAACATAAACATAAACACCGATTATTCAGACAATAACTGACAACATAAACACCGTTCATCCTAGTATTCGGACAATAACAAACAACATAAACACCGGTCACCCTAGTATTCAGTTAGTATTCAGATAATAACTAACAACATAAACACCGATCACCCTAGTATTCAGGCAATAACTAACAACACAAACACCGATCACCCTAGTATTCAGACAATAACTAACAACATAAACACCGATCACCCTAGTATTCAGGCAATACTGTAAACGTGGTTATTTACGCGATTCGAAGGTCAAAACTATACGCGCGGGGGTAATTTACGCGGTCGCGGTAGACCGACGTTTACTCTGCAGAGTTATCTCCCTTTCTTTACAAAATGTGTACAGGTAAAAAAACTAGTAGCTAATGAGTACATGTTACGTATCGTACCGACTGGTCATTGGACAGATGAAAACAAAGGTGAATTGTATTCATGTGTATGTGTGTGTCTTATACCAGCTGATCTCGTAATCAACTGGGATCAAACAGGTGAGTGCTATTTAGTCAAAACAAACACGTTTTCCAAATAACAATGATAAAACCATGCGCTATTCGTAAATTATCGTAACACATCGAGCGCAGTTAATGTCGCTACTATTGATGACGGTAGCATTTGCCTGTGTAGGGACCGTTGCACACGATTACTAGCTGTTTGTGTCCCGTAGACCCGTATGTGAGTGATGTGTACCGGACCTCGATGCACCCGGGTTTATTCATGACTTTCTCTGTGCCTTTATATAGATTTTCAAATTTGTTGTTCATTAAAAACTTCAATTAATCAATGAGTAATACTTTAACAAAGCAATATTACCGGAGGACATCACACACACACCACACGTACCAATATCTATCAGAGTTGTCGTTCCTTACACTATCGACGAAACCATACGAGCGGGGTAAATTTACGCAGACGATCCAACTCCGCGTAGTAAGCGTAAATGTCCCCCACGCATAATATTCCACGTTTACACTAACTAACAACGTAAACACTATTCACCCTAGTATTCAGACAATAACTAACAACATAAATACCTTTTGCGTATCAGGGGCTACTCACTCAACACTATAGGCTAACTATATACAATACTACAAAACAAATGTGTATTGACGAGGTAGCCTCCTAAGCAAAGAAAGAGGCTACAAGGAAAAAATATATTATCAGCAATATATTTAAAGTAGGCCAGACAACTCTTGAGCAATTCAAGACAGGTCAATACAGGCCAAATGTAAATATCTAGTGAACACTCTTGAGCGATTCAAGACAGTATAAATGTAGATATCTAGCGCAAACCCTTGAGCGATTCAAGAGATGCATATAAAATACTCATAAGTAGTAAAGAAACTTTTAAGCGATTTAAAAGCAGAAAGCTCTTACATGGAGCGATTCAAGAGAGGCAAACTGACCACCTGACTTAAGCGATTTAAGAGCTGGTAAGACAAAACTCCTGAACGATTCAAGAGCCTAGTAGTATTAAGAATAGACCGAAAAAAATTGATTAAAGCAAAAGCAGTAAAATAATCAACAGATAAGTAAATAATATTGTAGAAAAGTAAATACCCAGGAATTAAAACCCCAATGATGGAACGAAACGAGGAATTGGAAATTACTAGTGAGTGAGAGCCTTCCCCCGAGCGTAATATTCCACAGTTACAGTAACTAACAACATAAACACCATTCATGCTAGTATTCAGACAGTAACTACCAACATAAACACCGATCACCCTCGTATTCAGACAATAACTAACAACATAAAAACCGATCACCCTAGTATTCGGTTATAACTAACAACATAAACACCGATCACCCTAGTAGTATTCAGACAATAACTAACAACATAAACACCGATCACCCTAGTATTCAGTTATAACTAACAACATAAACACCGATCATCCTAGTATTCAGACAATAAATAACAACATAAACACCGATCACGTTTGTATTCAGACAATAACTAACAACATAAACACCGATCACCCTCGTATTCAGACAATAACTAACAACATAAACACCGTTCACCCTCGTATTCAGACAATAACTAACAACATAAACAACGATCATCCTAGTATTCAGACAATAACTAACAACAGAAACACCGGTCACCCTAGTATTCAGACAATAACTAACAACATAAACACCGGTCACCCTAGTATTCATACAATAACTAACATTATAAACACCGATCACCCTAGTATTCAGACAATAACTAACAACATAAATACCGATCACCCTTGTATTCAGACAATAACTCACAACATAAATACCGATCACCCTCGTATTCAGTTATAACTAACAACATAAACACCGTTCATCCTAGTATTCAGACAATAACAAACAACATAAACACCGATCACCCTCGTATTCAGTTATAACTAACAACATAAACACCGATCATCCTCGTATTCAGACAATAACTAACAACATAAACACCGTTCATCCTAGTATTCAGACAATAACAAACAACATAAACACCGATCACCCTCGTATTCAGTTATAACTTACAACATAAACACCGATCATCCTCGTATTCAGACAATAACTAACAACATAAACACCG